AAACAATTCCCTTTGGTCAAGTCGGCGGATGACGTGGATGCGAGAGCCCATGTGACGCAAGCACCAGATCAGCAATAGGCTGCAAAATGTCAGCACACCTCCTGGTTGGCTGGAGCCCCTTCAACGAAGCTGCAAAGCCGAGCCCCCAACATCCAAGTATTCAAACTTGATATTACACCGTAAATGTTTGCCATTATTTCAATGCAACGCGTATTTGCAACGCATATTACAAGAAGTCATCTAAAACAGATTCAGAATATTATAGACTATTTATTAAGGGGAAGAAAACTATTTTGAGTTTTATAAATTAAAATACATCATGAAACATGGCGAAATGTTCGCTATGCATGGAACGGGACTTGTATTTATTATATTCACTTCATTGGTTTAAGGGTCTACACTCTTTGCTTATAGCAGATGCGCCACTCATGCAGCGTTCTCTTGAATTCTCTGGACTGTTGTCGAGCCAGTAAGTTGACGAGTCAAACACGCCCAGTCAGCTATTCTCAAGGTTGCGATGACGAGGGTCAGCGCACTTCTGAATCCGTCGTCAAGCAATTTCTCCGAATCAGGATCGCAGCGCTCGCAGAGAGTTATCAGAAGGTTTGCGAGTTTCGCGAGCTCGGTTTGGAGCTTTTCGCCCACGTTTGTCTCCCGAACGACCTGTTATGCGCAGTCGCCGGTGTTCGCAGTACGATTTCTCTCCTGTCAGTTTTGCAGAGGGGCACTCCACGTAGATAAATTGAACAGAATGCGAAAATCAATACACAACACAGAGACAGCAACAGACATTCTACGGCTACTAAAAATTTATTGCTTGCTGCACATTTTTCCTACAAAAAGGCGTGACACTTGCTTCGCTGATTTTGTTCAGCGGCTACTCTCCCTTCGCAATGCATCGACGCAAGGCGATAGCGCCTGCTAGTATAGCAGACAGCAGCGGCGTGATTCTTCTACTGCTGCTGGGCTCTGCGTTGCTCTGCTTTCCAAGCGCCACAGACGGCGCGAGACACAAGACGCTTCGGTCGCAGGGAGTGGTATCGAGCAGCCGGACCATAGCGCACACGATATGGACGTCAGGAAGCACGATTCTTCGTGGCAATGTCAACGCCGGTAAAAGGAGCAACACTGGCAGCACTACAGTTCCTGCCACTACCGCCGGTGCTACAACCGCCGCTGCTGGCTCCGCGGCTGCTACAGCCGCGGCGGCGGGCGCGGGGTGCGCGGCGTCGGCGCTGGAGGGGTTCGCGTGGTCGGCGGCTCTGGGGTCCACTGGAATGACGCTGCATTGGCGCGCAGTGGACTCGTCGCGCCTCGCCTTGGCGCTAGAAGCGGCGGGCGGCAGCGCGGCGGCGGCGGGGTGGTTCGCCGTGGGGTGGTCGGCGACGGGCCGCATGGCGGCGTCCGACGCCGTGGTGGGCAATCTGGCGGGCGGCGCCGCCGTCCAGGCGGTGTACATGAGCGGCACGGCGCAAAGTGACGTTCAGCCCACAAGCAGCTTCGATATCGGCAACGCGCAGCTCGCCACGTCACCCTCGGGATCCACCATTTTCAAGTACGTCGGGGCGCGTGTGAGATGTTGCGGCTTTTTGTTGTCGTTATGTCAGGAAAATCTACTTTGCAAAAATGAGGCTCAGGGTTTCGGGTTCAGGGTGTGAGTTCTTTTTTTTTGCTTACATCTTTTCCTCTCGGAGGCTCGGACCCACACACTCATTACTATCCCCTCCCCTCTCACACCTCCCTCCTATTAACAGGTTCAACCGCTCTGCAGGTGACGGCTCAGTGCCGGTGAGCGTGCAGGGCAGCAACACACTCGTGTGGGCGCACTCCCCCGATGGCTCGCAGTCGCTCGGCTTCCACGCCGGATATGAGTGAGTGTTCCAGTCCAGAAAGGGTGAGAGAGCGAGTGCAGATCCATTATGTTCCAAGCCAGCGATGAGTGAGTGCAGTCCCGTGGCATATAACTTCAGCCTTCAAATCTTCCCATCTTTCATTTGTTTTCTTTAGTTTCATCTTTTCCCATGCTCCTGCTTTCCCGTCTCCCTCTCTCCCTCTCCCTCTTTCCCCCTCCCGTTCTTCCCCTCTTAACCCTCCTCCCAGTGGAGCGCTGCAAATGGACTTCGCGTGCTCCTCTGCCTCGTCCGGAGGGGGAGGGGGTGGCGGCACTGGTGGGGGCGCGGGGGGAGGCACTGGCGGAGGTGGGGGCGACTACGGGGGTGACTACAACGGGGGGAACAATGGGGGTGGTGATTACGGTGGTGGTAATGGCGGCGGTGATTATAACGGGGGGAATGGAGGGGACTACAATGGTGGAGGTGACAATAATGGGGGGAGCGGTGGTGACTATGGGGGTGGCAGCGGTGGTGGGGGGAGTGGTGGTGGCGGAGGTAGAGGTGGTGGGGGTGCTGGAGGCGGAGGAAGGGGAGGCGGTGGGGGGGACTGCAGAAGAGGGCCTGGGGGCGGACGTGGGGGACCTGGTGGGGGACAGGGAGGGCCTGGGGGCGGGCAAGGCGGATTCGGTGGGGGACAGGGGGGATTTGGAGGAGGACAGGGCGGACCTGGGGGCGGGCAGGGCGGAACTGGTGCTGGGGGCGGGCAAGGGGGAGCTGTGGGCGGCAATGGTGGTGACTACAGCAACGGAGGGGGCTACAGCGGCGGCAATGGCGGTAATGGTGGGAGGAACACAGTCGGACAAGGTGGGTACTACAGCGGTGCAGGAGGGGGGGGGGGAGGGGCTGGTGGTGCTGCTGCTGCTGGTGGGGGCTGTGGGGGAGGGCAAGGGCAAGGCGGGGGGCCTGGGAATGGGCAGGGCGGACCTGGGAGCGGGCAAGGGGGAGCTGGAGGAGGGCAGGGGGGACCTGGGGGGGATTATGGTGGGGGAAGCAATGGCGGAGACTATGGTGGTGGGAATGGTGGTGGTGACTATAGTGGGGGGAATGGAGGGGATTACAACAATGGTGGTGACTACAGCGGGGAGACCACTGGAGGGGGCAATGGTGGTGGCAATGGTGGTGACTATAACGGAGGGAGCTACACTGGGGACTACAGTGGGGATTACAGCGGAGGGACGGGTGGCAGTCAGGGCGGCAGTCAGGGAGGCCCATCTGGGGGCGGTATGAGTGGAGGCGGAGGCATGGGCGGTGGAGGCATGGGCGGCGGAGGCATGGGCGGCGGAGGCATGGGCGGCGGAGGCATGGGCGGCGGAGGCATGGGCGGCGGAGGCATGGGCGGCGGAGGCATGGGCGGCGGAGGCATGGGCGGCGGAGGCATGGGCGGCGGAGGCATGGGCGGCGGAGGCATGGGCGGCGGAGGCATGGGCGGCGGAGGCATGGGCGGCGGGCATGGGCGAAGGCATGGGCGGCGGTGCTGCTGGCGGGGGAATGGGAGGGCCTGGGGGAGTGACTGGCGGAGGAGGCATGGGCGGTGGTGCTGCTGGTGGTGGCATGGAAGGGTCTGGGGGGATGGGCGGAGGCGGAGGGATGGGCGGTGGTGGGGGGATGGGAGGAGGCGGGGGCATGGGAGGAGGCGGGGGCATGGGAGGGGGCGGAGGAATGGGAGGGCCTGGGGGTGGCATGGGCGGAGGAGGGATGAGGGGAGGGGGAGGGATGGGCGGAGGTGGAGGCATGGGGGGAGGAGGCATGGGGGGAGGAGGCATGGGGGGAGGAGGCATGGGGGGAGGAGGCATGGGGGGAGGAGGCATGGGGGGAGGAGGCATGGGAGGGGGCAGGCCTTAGCGGTTCACAGTGGACAGGCAGGCAGGAAACCAAGTGCCTCAAGCAACTCAGTCTCAGTCAAGGCACAGAGGCGGAGAAAGCCGAGGGACAAGAAACTAGTGAAGGGAATGGCAAAGGGAATGATAAGGGAATGCCAATGGGAGTGATAAGGGAATGTCAAGGAGATGACCAGGGGAGGGGACTAGCCAGTGAATGGATGAGCTTTGATTCACCTCAAGCCCCATTGCACGTGCTGCTGAGGTGCATCAAAGCCCATCCTCCCACTCCATGCTTGTTTGTGATTACTGGCTTTTTTGTTGTAGCTGGTTCTAGATCGTTCTTCTATTGCTGTCTGCTTGTTCTTGAAGTGAGAAATTTATGTGTGTGCTTTCATCCATGAAATATGAATGCATTTATCTTATAAGTAATAAGTTTACACATGGTTGAATTACTTTGTCCCCGTCAGCACCAATTAAACTTGGTGGGAATGCAGGAAATGCGATACCGTAAGTTGCTCGCATTGCACAGAAACTGTACACGCTTCGACACGGTCCATGAAATCCTATTGTGAGCTTCAGTGCACTACATTGTAGCGAAGAAGCCATGGAGTGAGCTTTCTTTAGTTACCACCTGTAACCTCCTGCAGCCACTCGTACTTGGGCCACTTGGGTCCTTTATTCCCACAGGCACTGGTATTCTTGCAGCGCAGCATCCAGGAGTTGGGCCACAGCCAGGCTAGCTGCAGGCAGCGCATGACATGAGGCACATCAGCAGCTTTTGAGAATTCTCAAAAGTGACTCCCAAAGAGGCACATGAGCAGCATTTCATCAGCTGCAGTCACTGGGCCACTTGGGCTCGGCACACCAGCAGTTCATTCATCAGCTGCAGTCACTGGGCCACTTGGGCTCGGCACACCAGCAGTTCATTCCTGTTGCATAAGACTTCCTGCAGTGATCCCTTTCCGCCTTTCTCCCTCACTCGTCTCGAAATCGCACCCTCTCATTGCTTGGCTTGAACACTTCTATCCCCTCTAAGAGCTCCCCCGATAGCCACTTCCACTTGCTCTCGTCGTCCAAGTACCCGATACAGTAATAAGTACACTCCGGCTGGTTGGGGACCTCGTCTTTTGTACCACACCAGGGCGGCCACACGGCTGGCATCTTTTGTCTCAAGTGCCGCGTGGCCTTGCTGGGCTTCTCTACGTCGGCTTGAGTAGGAGGAGAGGAGCAGGGGTGGAGAGGCGGGGCTGTGATGCTGGCGCTGTCCTCTAGGGCACTGGTGGCGTACTTAGCGAGCAGGATAGCCCAGAAGAGACGCCGTCCCTCCCATGTGCAGAGAGTGCTGCATGAGGGGAGAGGATAAGAGAAGCCCGAGACGAAGTGAGGAATAGAGAAGAAAGTTGTGTGAGAGTGGGAGAAGTACCCTCAAGGGGGACCGGAGGAGCTGTGATGCACAGGGTGCTGCAGGGAGGAGAAGGATAAGAGAGGAAACAGGGGGGGAAAGACATGAGAAAATGGTTAGAGAGGGGGGGAACGACCCAGGGGCATCAGGGGAGGCGGAGCTGTGATGCTGGCGCTGTGCTTTAAGGCACTTTGGGGTACTTGACGAGCAAAATAGCCCAGAATAGCTGGCACCCCTCCCACGTGCACAGGGTGCTGCAGGATGGGAGCGGGATGAGAGAGCAGGGATGAGAGAGGAGGGATGAGAGAGGAGGAATGAGAGAGGAGGGATGAGAGACGAAACAAGTGTGGGAAGAAATGAGAGAAATTGAGGGGGAATGGTGCGGGGAGAAACTGCGATGAACCGGGCAAAGTTAGTTACAGGAAGGAGAGGGTGTGTGGGGGAGGGGAAGGGAGGGGCAAGGAGACTGAGAAGACAACAGGGATGGAGGGGAGGAAAACGACCCCTATCACTGCATGTTAGTAAATAGGCGACTTACCTGGCAAAGTCATTTGCGGCAGCAACAATCTCTCGTGCCCATTGGTTGTTGGCGCGGGCCCACTGGATTTGCGAGTAGGGGTTGCTGAAGTAGCGGTGGGTGGGCAGGAAGTGCTTCATTGGAAGTAATAGGTTTCAGTTGTGTGACTTACCTGGCAAAGTCATTGGCAGCCGCAACAATCTCCCGTGCCCGTTGGTCGTTGGCGCGGGCCCACTGGATTTGCGAGTAAAGGTTGTTGAAGTAGCGGTGGGTGGGGAGGAAGTGCTTCATAGGGCACAGCAGCGGGTCGAAGAACTGATAGTACTCGCTGGCCTGGCGGATCAGAACCTGTGCGCACATCAGAAAAGGTGGAGGAAGGAAAAGGAAGTGAGAAGTGGCGGTGGGTGGGAAGGGTGGGAGTCATGTGGCACAGCAGCAGGTGGAAGAACTGATAGTACTCGCTGGCTTGGCAAATCAGAACCTGTAAACACGTTATGAAGGGTGGGGGAGGGAAGCAGGAGGGATACGGGTTGGAACAAGAGGAGGAGGAGATGGAGGAGAAGAGGAACGAAGGAGGGAGGGGGGGAAAATGGGGTTGTAGGAGGATCAGGGTACTGCCATGAATGAGTAGGGCTTTTGACACATGTCAAGCACTCTGGTAGTGCTATCTGGCTTGGCAGATGAGTACATGTGGGGAGAGGAGAGAGAGGTGACACACCATGAATATGTGTGTGGGAGCGAGTGTGCATGAGAGAGGAAGCAATTATGGGGGAGAGGGGGGATGGGAAAATGGGGTGAGGAGCAAAATAGAGAGCACTACAACAGGGAGCCAAAATGAGACTACTTGAATACCTGATTGCTCGCCAGAATCCCACACGTCCGGCCGCTCCCTGTCCCGCCGTCCACATCCAGCTCATACTTAAACCCCTGCAGCTCCTCGGGCTTTAATCTCCCGCCCAGCCGCACCCCATCCGCCTCCAAGCTCTCACGCCATCTCACATCCACACCGCTCATGACGCGCGCGTCTAGCAGATCCGGGCGGGCATCTGCCATGCGGTGCACGCGGAAGCGAGGGCTGGCGCGCCAGTGCATGGGCATGGCGATGTGGTAGTTTGTCATCCCGCCCCGGAACACCGCCCGGCCCTGCTTTTGCTCCCAAGGGACCTGAGGTGTGGGGGTGGGGAAAAGGGAGGGGAGGATAGTCCGTTAAATGAGGCTCTGATTTGCCCTTTGCATGGATATGAAGCGATTGGAGATAGGGTGATTGATTGGAAATCGCACAATATTTACTGTGTTTGCTGAAGTCTTCAAGCACTTTTGTCCAGTATACTCACCTGAACTGTACAGTGGAGTCGGGGTAGCGAGTATCGAGGTTTCAGGTTTAGCGGCGTGGGAAAGAACAGTCAAAGATCCGTGCGCAAATATTTCCAGCTGACCAACTTCACTTCAGATCCACTGCGTAAAATACGGTCGCACGGACCTTATCCTCAACGTCTCGGAAGTAGCTCTTGGACAGATCGACGGGGTCGGGATACGGAATATCGAGCGAGCCGGGGACGACGTGCGGACTGAACAAAGGCATTCCCGCGCGATCCTGCCGCGCGACCGAGTCCGCCTTGCTGGTTGGCAGATCGCATGTGTTTATAAACAGCTCCGCGTTCAGGCTGTACAGTTTATACGCGCTAATGGCGTCCTGGATCATTTTGACGGTAAGGACGAATCGGCGCATGCGGTACCAGTCGAACTGGAAAGCCCCCAGGCGGAAGAAAACTTTTCCGCGCACGATTCGAATGTGCCCGGAGCACGATAGGATCTGGTCGGACCCAAGGGAGGGGGAGGGATGGTAAAGGAGGAAACGGAATGAGACGCGGGGGTGCCGGGAGGGAGGGGAGAACGGGGAGGGAGAGGACGGGAGGAGAAGGGGGTGGTATTGGGAGAATAGAAGCAGAAGACGGTCGAGTAAGAAAATCATATAGTTTACAGCGTAGTAAGGAGAGGAGGGCGTGGCGGAATGCGAAATGAGAGCACCCTTTTTGAAGTTTCGAGAACACGTAGCGCTACTATTGTCACCGTTATGCTCGTGATCGCCCTCACATACATTTGCCATGGTTCCCATTTGGTGCAGAATTTCCGCGGATATCATTCCCCGCGCGCCCATCCCCGCGGTGACGCCCGGAATCCCCATCCACGGGCGCAGATAGTTGTGCGCCAGGCACGCCAACTTCCGCACGGTGGCGGAACCACTGCGCGCGCTGAGTGCGGGAAACTCCGCCAGGTCCGCCACGCACTCGTCCGCGTCTGCGCGCGTGTCGGGGAAGCCGCACGAGCCCTGCCCCGACTCGAACACGCGGGGGAAGGCGGAGGAGGGGAAGCCAGCAGCGGCGGCGGAAGCGCCTTCCTCCTTGGTGGCGCCTCCGCGTCTGCGGTCGGCGCTGCTGCCGGCGCTTTTCACGGCGCGGATGGCGGCGGTTGGAAGGGACTGCAGGATTGGGGTCTCATCGGACTGGAAGCGCTCTAATCGTCTTCGAGGGCTGTCGTCAGGCTGAAGGGATGTTGGGGGTTCGGGGAGAGGAAAAGCGAGGATTGTGGACTCAGGGAGAGTTCGACGAGCCAAGAGGAGGTGACGGTGGAGCTATTTGACGGGAACACGCGTGGAAGGCACGTGCACTCAAAATCATCGAAACGCGACGATAATTTCTCTACTTGCGTCACTTTTGAGATTTCTCAAAAGTGCTCAAACACTCGAGTGCGCTCTCTATGTCTGAACTGGTCCAGCTCGTTTTGAGGCCCCTATATTTGAGGAGCTAATTTGTAAAGCGCCTCAAGAGAAATTCGTTGTTCGAGAGCGAGCCGCTCCACAGCTCAAGAGCGCTCACCATGTCTGTGAAGCGGTACAGCTCGCCGAGCTGCTGCCAGAGCGACCCTCATGTGTTTTTCATTCAATGATTCAGAAAACACAGTCGGGGAGATAAACTTTTCCTGAAAAATGGTGTGTTTGAGTCGAGTCAGTACAAAACTGTCAGAATGTTTCACGCGTCCTGTGATAAGTTCGAGAGCGCTCACCATGTCTCTGAAGCGGGACAGCTCGCCGAGCTGCTGCCCGAGATGCTGCTCAAGTTGCTGCCCGAGGGACCGTCGCCAGTGCGACGCGGCGAGCGACAGCCATAGCAGCAGCGTCACTGGCACTAGCGCAGGCGATATTCGCGACATACTCCGCCCCGTTAAGCGGCGAAGTGGTGAGCAGGGCCGTCGCATGGTTCTTGCTGTGGATGCCTAATGACGCAGCGATGCACCGGATGTTAGGGGTCTCCGTGCCTTTCACGTAAAGACTCTGCGAACTGTCTTGGATTAATGCCTGTAAGTCGCGACAGGAAACTAAAATAACACTGTCGTGCTGACTGTCGTGCTTGTATCTATCTGTAGGTGCCTTCCTGAGATCGGGCCCCATTCGGCCCCATCCGAAGTTCCGCGAGGTGCTTGAATCTGATGGAGGATCAATACTGTAGGTGCTATGGACCCAAACCGCGCGGCGCGCAGAAATTGCCTTCTCTTTCGTCGATATCTTCGCGAGATTCTCACGTGTGGTGGTAGCTGATTACGCCTACGCGAACTGTGCGGAGACAGTCACATTTCGCTGCGTCTGCTTTCGTTCTGCATCACTTTCTTTCGCCGTGCAGCCACTCGGTCTTGTAGTGCTGCCAGCCCACACGCAGGGGGATAGCTGGCGATTCAGGTGTTGGGGTTGTGGCGAGCCTGGCCCGACTGAGGTGTTTTGTTTGTCATGGGATTGAGGTGGGGAATATGCCAGCCTGCCCACACTTGGCCCCTCACTCCTCACCTTCACCAGCCTAACTCCACTAGAAGACCGCGCGATTGCTGGTAAAGATGAGATCGCCTTGCCCCTTGACTAGTAGGTTATATATGGCACATGTATGTTCCAACTGTTGAGTACTTCCCCTAGGTTCTAGGTTGAGAAGAAAATTATAGCATAATCAACTAAAGTGAAGCCCAGTTACAGTATTGGCATACACTGTTGGGAATAAATACATTATTGTGGGTAAACCAGAAATCAAAATGTAGATGCTTAGGGCGTGTTTTTACGGCATCTTATTGGGCAAACCTCTAATCAAAATTGTGTCTATCAAACAGAATTTCCCCTAAACCCCAGATTCTTTACCATGCCTGCGACAAGTGGGTGGTAAATAAGCGTATGCTTTGATGTGACAGGCTTCAACACAGTGAACATTAGGAAAATTCTGAAAACCGACAGTGCTTCATGATACGATCTGAAAATTGCTAGAGCGCAGCGGAAGGCTCTAGAGGAATAACGACGTCCCTAAGGCGGGGCAGTGGTCACTCAGAGGTAGCTTTCCTGGTTTGTAGCATGGTGCCAAAGTGTCAAACTCATATGCTATAGTCTGTGTAGGCTATAGTGGGTTAGGCAGTATAGGGTACAACACTTTTAGTTTTTCCTACTTGTACCCACCTGCTTGCTAGTTCATTCATTCCTCATTCTTCCACATGGTATAGAGCAGGTTCCCTAGTGGGAACGTTTCCTAGGGCCCACCAAATATCGATTTTTTTTCCTGCCCAGAACGCGCTTCGCCCCTGCCTGAGTCGCGCCCCTTGTGCCTACCCTCCCGTCGCGTCCCCTACCCTTAGTGGCCCGTCGCGCTCCCCTACGGCCCCGTAGCGGCCCCTCTCACGGCCTCTCACGGCCCCTCTCACGCGGCAGCCTTGCAGCCCCCTCGCGGCCCCTTCGCGGCCCCTTAACGGCCCCTTCGCGGCCCCTTAACGGCCCCTTCGCAAGACCCTTCACGGCCCCCTCGCGGCCCCCCTTCGCGGCCCCTTCGCAGCCCCCTCACGGCTCCCTTTGCGGCCTCACCCCGTCGCCAATCGCGGCCCCGCCCCGTCGCCAGGCGCGGCCCCGCCGCGTCGCCCCCGCCTCGTCGCGTCGCCCCTGTGGGACCCGCGAGGCGCGGCTCCTGTGCGTCGCGACGCCCCTGCGGGACCTGCGTGGCGTCACCCCTGCCCGCCGCGGCACCCTGCCCTAACCCGAACCTGGAGGAGCCGCCACTGCAGCAGCCGCCCCTGGAGCAGCCTCCCCTGCAGCAGCCGCCCCTGGAGCAGCCGCCCTTGGAGCACCCGCCCCTGAAGCAGCCGCCCCGGAACACCTGCCACTGCAGCAGCCACCCCTGGAGCAGCCGCCCCTGCAGCAGCCGCCCCTGGAGCAGCCGCCCCTGCAGCAGTCGCCCCTAGAGCAGCCGCCACTGCAGCAGCCGCCCCTGGAGCAGCCGCCACTGCAGCAGCCGCCCCTGGAGCAGCTGCCACTGCAGCAGCCGCCCTTGGAGCAGCCGCCCCTGTAGCAGGCGCCCCTGGAGCAGCCGCCACTACAGCAGCCACCCTTGGAGCAGCCACCCCTGCAGCAGCCGCCCCTCGAGCAGCCGCCCCTGCAGCAACCGCCCCTGGAGTAGCCGCCACTGGAGCAGCCGCCACTGCAGCAGCCGCCCCTCGAGCAGCCACCCTTGCAGCAGCCGCCCCTGCAGCAGCCGCCCCTGCAGCAGCCGCCCCTGGAGCAGCCGCCACTCCAATAGCCGCCCCTGGAGCAGCCGCCACTGCAGCAACCGCCCCTGGAGCAGCCGCCACTGCAGCAGCCGCCCTTGGAGCAGCCTCCCCTGTAGCAGCCGCCCCTTAAGCAACCGCCCCAGGAGCAGCCGCCACAGCAGCAGCTGCCCCTAGAGCAGCCACCCCTGTAGTAGCCGCCCCTAGAGCAGCCGCCCCTGCAACAGCCGCCCCTGGAGCAGCCGCCCCTACAGCAGCCGCCCCTGGAGCAGCCACCCCTGCAGCAGCCGCCCTTGGAGAAGCCGCCATTGCAGCAGCCGCCCCTGGAGCAGCCACCCCTGCAGCAGCCGCCCCTAGAGCAGCCGCCCCTACAACTGCCGCCCCAGGAGCAGTTTCCCCTAGAGCAGCTGCCCCTACAACGGCCGCCCCTGCAGCTGCCGCGGAGCCCTCGCCCTACAGTGGTAGCTGCCTCGCCGTTGCCGCCATCGTACGCCTGCCCTTCTCGCCACTGGTGAGCACTGCCCTGCCCTTACTGCTGTTACTACTGCTCTTACTGCTACTAATCTTTCTACTGCTACTACTGCTCCTGGCGTGGCCAGATGCAGCTCCAGCGTCGTCCGCGTGAGTCCCTTACCCCCCAACAGCTTCGTCAGTGGTACGCTACTTGGGGTTATAGTGGTGGCCGCGCTGCGACTACTGCTATTGCTACTTCGGCTGCCATTGCTCCTGCTGCTCCTGGCGTTGACCAGATGCAGGTCCAGCGACGTCCGCATGAGTCCCTCACGCCCCAGCAGCTTCGTGAGTGGTACGCTACTTGGGGTTGTCGAGGTGGCCGTAGTGGGAGTCATCCTGGAGTGAGTAGTTTGGCAGCTGCTTGTAGTGGCCAGGTGCAGCTGTAGCGTCGTCCGTGCGCGGTCCTTTCGCCCCAGCAGCTTCGTGAGTGGTACGCACAGCGTGGCGGGTCACGGGGTACTGCTCGCTGTCCGTACGTCATTTGCACTGGTGCTCCGACTGGCCACCCTTGCGGGACGTTTGGTCACGCAGAGTCCCGCTGCTTCGCCCGTCTGAGCGACGCCTGGCGTACATAGTTTGGCGACGCGGCTGAGCTCCCTGACAGGGTGGAGCTGCTTAGGCTGCGAGTAGATATCTATACTCTTGACTATGATGCTATCCTCACTGCCATGTATGCATTGCCTACTAGTGATGAGAATGACTGTTACCTGTGTGTTCCGCCTGACCCGGGCATTGAGG